ACTAAGAAACCTGTTTATATTTTATGTGAGAAAGAAATAACTTATTGTGTTAACTCACTAAGATATTATGGTCCATTTCTTAAAACAGCTAGGGTTGCTACAACTAATATATCTAATATTACTAATATACCTAGTATATCTAATAATACAACTAATATTCAATGCAAAAGAAAAAAACTATATGTAGTTAAAATTGGATCTGTTTTATGATACAGGATTAGGAAAAACTAGGCTTAAGGATTTTGGTCTTTGGTTTAAGTGCAATGGAAAAAATATTTATGAGTTTTAAGTGGAGATGGTATGGGTGTATGTATTAGATTACCAGGGCTACATAGCTAATATCACAGACTGAATGGCTTAAACAGCAGAAATTTATTTTCTTACAGTTTCAGGTGCTGGAAGTTTAAGATCGAGATGTCAATAGAAATTGGTTTCTTCTGAAGCCCCTTCCCTTAGCTTACCAATGGCTGCCTTCTCTCTGTGTCCTCACATGGTCTTTCCTCTGTGTGTGGGCACAGCTGGTGTTCCTTCGTGTATTCAAATTTCCTCAGATTGAATTAGGACTCACCCTAATAGCCTTAGCTTAGTTACCTCTTTAAAAGCCCTATCTTCAAACACAGTCACATTCTGAGGTACTGGAGGTTAGAGCTTTTAAATATGAATTTCTGGGGGACAGAATTCAGCCCATAGCAGTGAATAAGAGGAGTCTGGATAGTGACATAACAAGTTTTATATTTTATAAGATTGGTCTTGAGGCAGTGTGGAGAATGAACTGGATGAGAATATTTGCAGATTTAGATAGATTAGTTAGGAAGTTATTTTAGTAGTCCATGCAAGAGGGGAGTACGGCTAGACTTTTGTCGAGAGTGTGAGAAGGATGGCTATGAAAGACTTTAGGAGGTGAAATTTACAACTTGGCAATGGTTGATCTATGGAATCTGAGGAAGAGTTCAGTGTCGAGAACATCTTCCTGTTTTATGGTTTGAATAACTGATTGTTTAGTGGTGTTATTCCTCAAGATAGAGAACATTGGAAGGTTTGAGATAACATTGGGAAGGGTGGAATGACAAGATTCTAATTTCAAATTTGGACATGGTGACTCTGAGGTAACTTTGAGACTCCCAAAGGAACACAAAAGTAGGTATCTGGATGATGACATCATTAAAGAAAACAAGAGAAAGGCAAACAGATATTTCCTAAAATCTGTTGATTGATGTTCTGTATAGACGTCCCCACAGTAAAGCCTGTGGATTATAAATACAGTTTTTAATTGTAACAGCTAGTTATGGGGATAAAATGATGATTAACTCACGATGCCCAGTAGAACAAATTTGACTACATACTACAGAGAATTTTTTGGAAGCATAGAGGGAATATTTTTCTTCCTTTTTTTTTTAATAGAACAAGTTTAGAAATAGAAGTAATAAATATTATCTTCCTTCATTTTGGAGTTGCTGATGAAAATAAATGTGCCTGTAATTACTGCCTATTATTGCATATTCTACGTTACTTAAAGAAAACTATTTCCAATTTTCCAATGTTCTGCAGGAACTGGGTGAGAGTGCAGTGATTTCTACATTTTCTATACTTAGAGCTTTGCAATTTGTCCTTAGATATAACAAAATATTTATGTAAGATATCTATGTAAGCAATTAAAATTCCAGTGAGGCATTAAGATTTTTTCTCAATCAGCTTTCAAAATCTGGACAGATAGGAGAGAATGGCTTACTGTAAAGGAAGACATATTAATCACAAAATTTCACAACTAATACACTTTGATAGAAGAATGAAGTAAATGGGAAATTTTAATCACAATAAGAATGATTCGACAGCTTTAAATTTTATTTTATAATGTAGAGAGTTCAGAATTGAGACATAGTCACGCACCTTATATCTACTTTATTTGTAATTTTGTGGAATGAAATAATCTTACCCTTTGAGTTTAGTGGCTGTCATTAACATAAACTTTTAAAATTTCATGGAATCAATCAAATAAGGGTTAAAGTGAGTGATACACTCTTTATACTATAAATATATATTATATAGTCAGCACTGTTTGTTTTACTCTAACCTGGAGAAATTTCCTTCATATTAGTCTTAAGGAAAAAATATTTCCAAAGCTTGCTACTTCTGGGCTTAATTATACTGAATTCATAAAGTAAAATTAGAAATATCTGTTATTTGATGATTTGGATTGCAAAGAAAGCAAGGCCACTTTATTTAGGACACAATCTCCACTTTGGAAAAGAAAATGACATCTCCTTAACATTCACATAGTCTATTTTCATCAAATGTACTCCAGTGAATCTTTTTTAGGTGCATATATTAATAATAGATTCCCTAAAGGTATGCGATTAGTAATTTATGAAATTTTTGTAGCTTAGTGAAAATGGAGAATAACAACTCATTATTCCCCTCACCAATTAAACAAACTTAGTTCTTTTAATGCTTTCTCATTCAATATCTCTATGTATTGTAAATGTTGTGAGGTATGGCTATAAAATTATGAACGTTTTTCTTATTCATTTTATTACATTATTATTTTATTATTATTTATTATTATTCATTTCAAGTGTTATTAATATAGTAAATGTATTTTGTTCCCTTTTCAAGGAACATAGGAGATTACACATTCACTCCAAAATATTTGGGAAATTCTGTTCTGGATTTTCTTTCAGATATAGTTTATAAGTCACAGAAAAAAAACAACCTTCTTACTCCATAAAAATATCAGATATTATATTCATAATAGCAGTAAAACTTATAAGCCCCTTAGGAATAAATTTAACAAGAAAAGTACTCAGACTATATGAAGAAAACTATAAAAATGACTATTATACTTGGACGCACTCTTAAAATTTTCAAAACACCTTCTGACTATTTTAAAAAAATCATTCCTCCTCTCAATAGTCAAAGGTCTATTACCAAATATTTAAATGGAAAGTATCATTAAGAATTAAAGATCATTATGCTAAGTGAAATAAGTCAGGCAAAGACAAATATTGATGTTTTCACTTACATGTGGAATCTAAAAAGATGAAACAAACTAACAAACAAAATGAAAGAAAAACAGACTGGCAGAAACAGATACCAAAGGGATGGTTACTAGAAGGAAGGCAGTGGGAGGTGAGTGTAAAAGGGAAAGGGAATATAGTCAACAATATCGTGATAAGTTTGCATGGTGACATGATTACTAGAATTAGTGAGGTGATTACATTGTAAGATATAAAAATACTGAATAACTATATCGTACACCTGAAACTAATATAACCAATATAACACTATATACTTACTATATTTAAATATAAAATTTTTAAAATTAAAGATCATTAAGATATATTCCTAGAAAAATTTACAAATTATTTATTCCTAATTTTACATTAGAATTTTCCATGTCAAAATCTCCTTATTAAAGGTAACAATTGCATTTTATACTGAATAACAATATCGTACACCTGAAACTAATATAACCAATATAACACAATATACTTACTATATTTAAATATAAAATTTTTAAAATTAAAGATCATTAAGATATATTCCTAGAAAAATTTACAAATTATTTATTCCTAATTTTACATTAGAATTTTCCATGTCAAAATCTCCTTATTAAAGGTAACAATTGCATTTTATTTTTATTTCTATTAGTGACTGTCCTTTTATATATCTTTCTATGCACACACATGCATATGATATGGATAGACACATGGACATAAACATAGACACACACACATATAACACAATTATAAAAGAACATATCATATATGTTTTTATCGTGAACTTTGTGCGTGTTGGGGGAGGTGACAAAGACTCTCTCTCCTCTGCTTTCTCTATTCCTACCACTACATCTAATCCTAAACAAGAAAACGAATGTTAGTAACTTGGTATATTATTGTACATCTTTATCCATACTCACATATTTATTTATGTCTATAAATAAAAATTTTGAAAATTATAAAATTGGGATCATAAAATTTAAAGTTCTATATATTTAGATTCCATCACTTAATAATACATTGAGAAAATCCTCCCATCATTAACTGATACAATTCAAATACATTTCTTTTATGTCTGAATGATACTCATGATCATTCTATAGTTGGTGAGTATTCTTTGTTTCTAGGTTTTGCCCTCATGAACAATGCTTTATTACATATCCTTGTACTTTATTCTTGCATATGAGTGATATTATTTCTAGAATACATATCTAGATCAAAATTTATATAAATTTCTAAGTTTGACAGATAATGTTAGATTCAAATTTGTTATAATTTCTATTTTCACCAGTTATATTAGAAAATCTTTTTTCACTTTCCTGTCATTAGCAGATATTAATTCTCAAATGGCATTTTTGCTTATCTGACAAGTGAAAATACTACATCAATTTAAAAAATATTCTTAATTCTTAAGGGGAGTGAACATTGTTTTATAAATTTATTGGTCACATTGACTTGCTCTTCCATAAACATGTCTGTTCATATTTTCTGTCCATTTGTTTCACTAGGTTAACTTGTTTTCACCTAGTTTTAAGGGGTTGTGTGTGTGTGTGTGTGTGTGCGTGTTTTGTAATTATTAATCCATATATGCAGAATGTTACAGATATTTTCCCAACATATTTCTGTCCATTCTCTTTTTTTCTGAAATAAAAAGTATGTGGTTATACCTAAATTGTAAGTCTATTTCTCTTCCACATGCAATGGTTTTGCATTTGCATCTCTTCCACATGCAACAGCCTTTCACACATGGTTTTAATATTGGCTCAAATATTTGCATTGATTTCAGGGTTTCCCACCCCCCCCCCGCCCCGAATTTTAGGTCAGATACCTAAAAACAGAATTTGTAAATAGACTTAGTATAGGATGAAGGTTAAACTTTAAAAACTACTTATTAAATGGAAAACAACGCTAAGGTATAATAATTTAATTTGCAAATAAAATATCACTACCTGTGTTATCTCTAAATTGTCTTTGTCACATATTTTCTCATTACAGTGATCAAGTGTGGATATGTCAGAAGGAAGCAAGACTCTGGTGACTGTATTTGTTCTCACAGGACTTACAGAGCAACCATGTCTGCAGGTCCTCCTCTTGTGTTTCTGATTATCTACCTCACCACCATGGTGGGCAATCTTGGACTGATGGCTCTTATTTGGAAGGATGCCCATCTTCACACACCCATGTACTTGTTCCTTGGTGGTTTAGCCTTTGCAGATGCTTGCACTTCAACTTCTGTTACTCCTAGGATGCTGGTCAATTTCTTAGACAAGACTGCAATGATACTCCTAGCTGAGTGCATCACCCAATTTTAATTTTTTGCCTCCAGTGCAACTACAGAATGTTTTCTCCTGGTAGTAATGGCCTACGATCGCTATGTAGCCATATGCTTTATCCAGTGATGATGTCCTTGCTTTATCCAGTGATGATGTCCAACAGACTCTGTACTCAACTGATAAGTATTTCATACGCATTAGGTTTTCTGCAGCCTCTAATTCATGTGAGCTTTTTGTTAAGATTAACTTTCTGCAGGTCTAACATAATACATTATTTCTACTGTGAAATTTTACAACTATTCAAAATTTCATGCAATGACTCATCTATTAATGCACTAATGATATTTATTTTTGCAGCTTTTATAGAAATATCCACTTTAATGACCATCATAATCTCTTATGCTCGTGTTCTCTTTGACATTCTGAAGAAAAAGTCTGCAAATGACAGAAGCAAAGCTTTCTCCACGTGCAGTGCCCACCTGCTCTCAGTCTCATTGTACTATGGCACTCTCATCTTCATGTATGTGCGCCATGCATCTGGCCTAGCTGAAGATCAGGACAAAATGTATTCCCTATTTTACACAATTATAATTCCCCTGCTAAACTCATTTATTTATAGCTTGAGAAATAAAGAGGTTATAGGTCCCTTGAGAAGAGCTGCAAAGAAGTAAACAGTTGCCAAGGGAAATTTCAAATTGTTTCTCTTTTTACTCTTTGCGTAAACAAGTCCCCAAGTCTTATAGATTAGCCCCTGCACCAGAGGGCTAGTGGTCAGGGTGGTCACTGATCACTGGATAAAGGAACCAGCTTCACACAATGTTTACTTGAATTTGAGTCCAGTTAAAGTTACTACTCCAGTTCAAATGACTCAAATCATCCACAGTTGATTTATTCAAATGTTGTAATTCCTTTTTATCTGAATATTTAGTTTTTGAAAATTTTTGATCTGCTAGGAACTCCTCTCTCAAATTATATTTAACAGTTGACAGTAACTGAGCCTGGTGTATAAGTACGAGTCATTTAGTTCATGACTGATCCTAGTTCCCTGAGCTAGATCTGTATGTTAATAGGGTTCTGTGATGCTCTACCACACCATAATAAAATGATAAAGACTTAGATTATTATCGGAAATGTTTCTGAAATAAACATTTCAGAATAAACAGGGAGGAAAATTAAGAAAATGAAAAGGTTTAAAAAACTTGATGCACCTTAACAATTTTAAAAAAAAGATTAGCTTGCATTTGAATAATGGGACATCAAAATTTAAAACTTCCCATATCTAGAAGACCACATATTAACTTTCACATAAGATATTATATGATACAGTGGTATGTGGAAATTTGCAGATTTGGAAAAATCTCAAGATATAGCCTTCTCAAATATTACAGATCTCCTGTACTATATTTACATGAGTAATTTGTGATAGCAAGACTGGTCAAACATTTGCATAGGGATTGCTTTGCTATACTACAAGAGGCTGAAGGCAAGGTTGAGAAACTGGTTAAGTGGGTACAAAATTGAGATAGTGGTAAAACTGAGACTAGGTTCTTGCAGTCTTGGCTACCAATTTACTTTCAATTCAGTGAGAAGATTACATTAATAAATATACTAATTTATTTTAGTATAATAAAAATAACACCTCTCTCTCTCTTTTTTTTTACAAAGACATAATTGTGTTCTTTGAGCAATCTGTTTGTTCAAGCATTGTGTTTAGGAAAAAAGAATTTATAAGAAAGAAAAATGAAATACAAATTATTGAAACTGGAATGAAATGTAATTCTTGTTGAAGTATTTTAGAAGTTATTTTTAGTTTTCTTTGTTGTAATTCCAACAGATACACCAAAATACTTATTTAAAATGAAAACACAGTATGTATCATAAATTTATTATTTGACACGGGTATAAATTTTAAAATTTAATATGTTTGTATGGGTCTATAATTTTATTCCTACAGATATTCACTGACAAATTTATTTTTAATATACACAACTGAGATGCATTATTTTTAGAAATACTATTAATATCCATAAGGCTCGATTAATTTTACTGTGTTGGTGGCTAACTTAATTCAGGAAATTTTTGTTTGGTAAATGAGGATTTTTTTATTAAAATTATTGAGGTGATATTGGTTAATAAAATTATATCAGTTTCAAGTGAACAATTAAATAATATGTATACTGCATTGTGTATTTGCCACCCAAAGTTAAATTACCTTCCGTCACAAAATATTTGACCCCTTTTAACCTTATCTACATCCTCCCATCCCTCTTTCCTCTAGTAACCACTAAACTGTTGTCTATGTCCATAAGTCTCTGTTTGTCTTTCATGTTTGTTTGTTGCTTTCATTTTCATATCCCACATATAAGTGAAATCATATAGTTCTCAACTTTTTCTGTCTGATTTATTTCTCTTAGCATGACTGTCTCAAGATCCATCTATGTTGCAAATGGTAGTATCTCTTCTTATGTGTTATCCTTACCAGGTTTTGGTATTTGGGTAATGTTGGCCTCATAAGATAAATTAGGAAGTATTGCTTCTTCTTCAATTTTTGGAAGAGTTTGAGAAGAACAGGTATTAGATCATCTTTGACTGTTTGGTAGGATTTACTAGTGAAGCCATCTGGTCCTGGACTTATACTTTTTGGGAGGTTTTTGATGATTATTTCACTTTCCTTACGGTTGTTGTTTGGTCTATTTAGATTTTTCAGTTCTTCATGATCCAGTCTAAGATGGTCGTATATTTCTAAGAAATTGTTCATTTCTTCTAGGTTATTGAATTTATGGCATATAATCTTCTTGTATGATACTTTGTAGTTTGCTGACATCTGTCATAACTTCTCTTTCATGTGCATCGCAACATATGATCTATCCTTGAGAATGTTCCATGTGCACTAGAAAAGAATGTATAATCTGGTGTTTTGGGATGAAAGGCTCTGTAAATGTTGATTATGTCCAGTTGGGCTAATGTGTCAGTTAGTGCTGATATTTCCTTGTTGATTTTCTGTTTGGGTGATTTATCCACAGATGACAGTGGAGTATTTAGATCCCTTACTATAATTGTGTTTTTGTCAATTTGTCCCTTTAGTTCTGTTACTGGTTGTTTTATACATCTTGGTATTCCCTGATTGTGAGCAAATATATTGATAAGTGTTATGTCTTCTTGATGTATTGTCACTTTTATCATTATGAAGTGTCCATTTTGTCTCTTGTTACCTTTTTTATCCTGAAGTCTATTTCATTAGCTATGACACACCCGCTTTTCTCTGGTTGCTATTTGCTTGGAGTATTGTTTTCCACCCTTTTGCTTTGAGTCTATATTTGACCTTGCTAGTGAGATGTGGCTCTTGAAGGCAGCATATTGTTGAGTTTTGTTTCTTGATACAGTTTACTATTCTGTGCCTTTTTATTGCTGAAATCAGTCCATTTACATTTAGGGTGATTCTTGATATATGAGGTTTTCCTATAGCCATTTTATCTTTTGTTTTCTGGTAGCTCAGTGCTTCCATCGTTTCTTTGCCCTTATGTTTCCGTCTTATTTTAATTTGCTGGTGTTCTATGATTTTTCTTTCTGTTCCTTCTTGTTTTATGTTACGTGTTTTAGTTCTCGATTTTTGGGGGGTGGGGATGTGGTTACTATTAAGTTTATGTAAAGGAAAGTTTTATATATACAGTAGTTCTTTTCTTCTGCTTTTCTTATCTCCATTCTCCTTTGCAGAGTCAGATCTTTACCTCCTCCTCTTTTCTGGTTTTCTTGTCTCAAATTATTCTTATTTTTGCTGTGATTTCATGTCTAGGTTACAGTAGCTATCGTTTTCTCTTTTAAAGTGTTTTTTGACCTCTAACCATTATGTAATGTTTGAGTTTATAATACCCTATTCTTAATAAGAGTTGCACTTTCCTGTTTCTATCTGTTAGTCATCTTACTCTTAGTTTTATATTTTTCTGTCCTTTTGATTCAGATAAGATGATCTCATTCAGTATTTCTTGTACTGCAGGCCTTGTAGTGGAAAATTCCCTCAGCTTTTGTATTTCTGAAAAGGTCTTTATTTCTCCTTTATATCTAAAGGAGAATTTTGTTAGATATATTATTCGTGGCTGGAAATTCCTTTCAATAGTTTGAATATTTGGTTCTACTTTCTTCTAGCTTGTAAAGTTTGTGCTGAAAAGTCTGATGATAGTCTAATGAGTTTTCATTTATAGGTTACCATCATCTTTACCCTGGCTGCCTTGAGATTTCTTTGTCATTAATTTTTGACAGTTTTAATATAATATGTCTTGGAAAAGGCTTTTAATATAATATGTCTTGGAAAAGGATTGAGATAATTAGGTGTTCTGTTTGCATCTTGGATTTTAGGATACATTTCTTTCCATAGGTTTTGGAAACTCTCAATAACTATTTGTTTGAATATGCTCTCTCTTCCCTTCTTCCTCTCTTCTCCTTTTGGTATACTTATTATTCTTATATTGCTTGTTACTGACGGCATCAGATAGTTCTTGTAGACTTCTTTCATTTTTTTCACCCTCAAATCTCTTTCTTTTTTCATGTATCATTTCCAGATTTCTGTCTTAGGTACCACTAATTCTTTCCTCTATGTGTTCAGCTCTATTTCCTAAGCTTGCTATTTTGTTCTTCATTCATTTTATTGAGTTCTTCAGCTCAAGAAGTTCTATTTGGTTCTTTTTTAGAGTTTCAGTCTCCTTGGTAAAGTATTCCTTTTATTCATTAATCTTGCTTCTGAGCTCACTGAACTGTTGATCAGAATTTTCTTGTATCTCATTGAGTTTTTTCAGAAGTGCAATCTTGAATTCTCTGTTATTTAAATAGTATATTTCTATATCTTTAAGTTTATTTTCTGGAGGTTTTTCATTTTCTTTCTGAGCTGCCTTGTTCCCTTGGTTGTTCATGGTGTTTGATGGATTATTTCTCCGCCTAGGGATTAATGGGAGGTACTCCATTTTAAAAAACAACAACAACAACAACAACAACTTATTTTTATTAAGAGTAATCACTTTTTAGCATATTGATAAGACGAGGTTTTTCTTTTCTTTCTTTTTTTTTTTTTTATTAGGTGGCACCCAAGCCTCCTGCACTGTCCAAGCCTTCTGAATTTCTGCTTTGTGGCTAAAAATGTCCTTTATTCCCTGAGGAGGTGTGTCTCCTCTGTTACCAGGTCTCTTCGGTCCAGGGCTCTACCCCTGTGGGAGAATGTGAAAGTCAATGGGGTTCCAAGTCTCTGAAGAGCCCCTGAAGTCCTCGTGCTGCCCCAACAGCCAGATGCAATGCTTTGCTGTTTCCTTCCAAATCAGCCTGGATAGGTGTGGGCTGGGTGAGTCAGGAGAAGCCAGAGGTATGTCTGTAGCTGTTTTCCTTCCAGTAATGTTGGCCACCAAGCTTCAGCTGCCTTGCTTCTATATATCCACCCCTAGCAGTGGTACCAGCTGCAGTATGTGTCTCAGTTTTCACTGCTGCAGTTTCCCCTTGGGCTCGCTGCTAGCTCTGGGAGGGTCACGGGAGGCAGCCCCGATTTGGTTTTCTGCCTGGCAATACCGAATGCTGTGTGGAATATGCTGATCACTTGAGCAAAACTGGTCGGGCTTCAAATAATCAAAAGGGCCACCTCATTCCCCCCTTCCTCAGATCTTGCAGAGAGTTCTGGGCTGCGTCTGTAGCA